CACCTCAAGTGTCTTGCATAAACCGACGAGAAACAGACTGGCACTAAGATCCGGGATGCCCATGCTGAAGGGCTAGCACCTCCAGGAGAGAACGTTCTTCAGTGGCCCTCCGACACATGAAAGCACTTTACATGCATAATCTCCTATAATCCTTTCACTGACCCTTGGGTGTGGGGGGGGTACTGTGCCCCCTTCACAGCGGGAGAATCGGAATCTCAGGGGCTCAGTGCTTCATCCAGCAGCTAGAGAGCAGCACGGTGGGAGCGATCTGAAGCCAGGTTTCTCCAACCCCCTAAGGGAAAAGCCCAGGTGAGTGCATGGACAGACTGGATTCAACTCCCAACTCCACCAATTCCTAGATCTGTGAACCTCAGGCAGGGTCTATTCAAGCTCCTTGTGCCTCAGTTTCCTCATATGTAAAATGGAGGTTATATGAGACCAACTTCATGGGGTTGTGGTGGGGACTTAATGACCTCATGTTTGTAAAGGTCTCAGGACAGCATCTGGCACACAGAAAGAGCCGTGAAAATGTTTGTGAAGCAGATGACACCTGTCTCTCTCCTGCTACAATGAAGGCCAGCGTGCACCTGCGTTCCTAGTCTTTGTCTTTCCAAAGCTCACGTCACCCACAGACCTCATTTCCTAAAGCCATCATCAGGGGAGAGGGGCTGGAGCTGGGAGCATCCCAGGCCCAGGAGAGGGTTCCTGCTGGGAAGCAGCTGAGACCCTGAGCCTCACCAGGGCCAGACAGACTGGCCGCCCAGAGTCCACGCCCTGCTCTGACTGCCACTTGCCAAGCACAGTGGATGCTCACCTGGCTCCCTAGGGCCGTGAAGAGTGGACAAAGGCAGCAGGGGCATGTGAGATCACCACCATGGTCATCTGTCTCTGGCGTCCTGGTCTGAACACAGGCCTTCTGTAAATTTGATTAGTGCAAACCTGCAGTTCCCAAACTGTGTGCCGAGGCACCCTGGTGGGTGGATTGTGGGGGGAGGGGTACTGCAGTGAACTCGCAAGGGTACTGCAGACTATTTTAAGTTTTTGAGGGAAACGGTGATACATGACATCAGTTGACCACTATTCGTGAAACTACTCCATGAAGGTAGCCAATGGATTGTACCGCATTCCTTTCAATGACAGTGCATCTTTGTGAACGAAGTTTTCTGTAGTTGCTGTGAGAAAAGGCAAGTGCTGAAGTCTATGGGGAATGGGAAATGAGAGTGGCTGTGCTTAACCTGGTTCCAAGGTTTGAGAAGCTGTGTAGCCCCCAACAGGGAAACAAACCTCATTAATAAGTGATTATGGTTACTTAAAGATAAAATAAAAATATTTTTTCTTTCAATGG